GAGATTGTTCAATCAACCGATGAAGAAATCAATCAACTATTTAATTTATTAGTAAATAATTTTTATAAATATCAGGACCCAACTTATCTCACCAAATATAATCCAAAAATCGAACATGACAACAATTTTTTTATAAATAGCAACACAATCACTAAACAACATTTTCTAGATATCGTTTTCAAAATATTAATCAAAAGAGAAGAAGATTCACGATTAGACCAAAAAATTGGAAATATTTTTGATAATATTGAAATATAATGGAAGCAAAAGAAGAAAAAAAAGAAAAAATACCACTAATCGATAATATCAAAAAAACTATCGATGAAAAAACTGAAAAAATTAATGAACTCGAAGATGAAAACAAAGAACTCAAAAATCAAATAAAAAGACTTTTGGAAGAGACAGAAGATTTACAAAGAAATAACTTGTTAAAAAATATCTTGATTGATTTATTAAAACATGTAACTTACACGATGATAACAATTTTATTTTTTATTTTTATATCAGATTATTATTTTCAAATAAATCTTCAATGTATAATTATTTAATTATTTTATAATAATAAAGTATTTTTATAAAAATTTTCTTATAAAAACAAGTTTTTTATAAATTAAATTTAAAAAAATGGAAGAAATTTTTTATATTTACTACTCTGCTGAAAATTACATTTTTCATTTTATATTGAGTAAAAATGAATTAAAAATACATATTACAAAAGGAACCTCGAATCGACAACTTACAATTATGCAAGTTGAATCTAAAAAATATTCATTTATAATTAAAACAAATGATATAACAAACATTCAAGATTATATAGAAGCGGATAGAACCATTAGTTTAAACAAAAACGTTGAAAGTTTTTCTATATTATATAAAGATACCATAATAATTTATCAAAATGAAAATTTTAGTGATTTATTTTATTAATAAAAAAAAATTTGATATGATTCGCTAAATATTTTTTTATCTTATAAAAAATATACATTGCCCAAAGCAAACCACTTGGCAGTTCATATCACTTGCTTCTTAAAAATTGAACGAAGAGCTAGAATTCGGAGGAGAATTTCTATCTAAACGAAATGTGTTTTCATCAAAGTCGCAAATTAAAAAAAAATAAAAAAAAGAAAATCGATGGGTTTATAGAAATTTTATGATTACGCTACATTACTTTTTTTAGATTTACTTTAAATTACTATCAGTTTATATATAATTTATATCACGAAAATTTTGCACAAAGATTCTTTTTGCACGAAAATTATTTTATTAAAATATCATATTTATTTAAATTTAATTTAAATTTTATATAAATACAACAAGCATGTTTAAAATAAAATTAATAAAATGGCAAATATAAAAATTGAAAAAACACTACGGACGAAATTCCACCACATTTTGTTAAACAAGGTGAAATCAAAATCGAAAAGTTTTTTCTAGTTGAACCAGAAATAAAAAAAGCATTTGAAGAACTTGGTTTAAATGTTGAATTTTGTTCTGAGATAAATAAATATAAAATTTCAACCCCAAAAGAAATGATTAATGAATGTTAAAACACTTTAAATAATATACTTGAATGTATTTTCATAAATAGTATAATTTTCATCTTTTCTATTTTTAGCAAAACGAACCTTTTCAATATTATTATAAAAAATACTAAATGATGTATTTTTCTCTTCGATCTTAAAATAAGCAACCTTATTCTCGTAATGAATAGACTTTTCACATATTTTATCATTAACTTGACATTTTACTTTTGAATCAATATCTATACATTCATTATTTTTTACAAAGTAAACTGCATAAAAAATATTGTTTTCTTCTTTGATTTTTTGAATTCCAACTCCGATTTTTTCATTATTTTCATCAAGGAAATAGGCACCACCAATAGTATTAAAGGAAAATGTGCCTTGAAATGTCACTAATAAATAAATAAAATATTATTTTTTTTTTTAAAAAAAAACAAAAAAAAAAGAACAAATATTACTTATTAATATTATTAAAACGTTGAAAATTGAATCTTTTTTATTTAAATTTACATTAAAAAAAAGAAATCGGAGGATTTATAGAAATTTTACGATTACGCCATATTACTTTTTTTAGATTTACTTTAAATTACTAATCAGTTTATATATAATCTTGTATCACATTATTGTAAAAATTTATATTATTTTCATTTTTTTTTATTACCTGTGTTCTCTCGTCTAAGTAACTGACGGGTAGTAACTTTATAAGTGACTGGCTTGTGCACATCAGTTTCTAAGTTCTTAACAATGATAGAGTTTGTTTTTTTTTTTATAATATATTTTTTTATTTGTAAATAAAATAATAGCTATTTTTTTTTTTTAGATGGAAAATAGTTCCTTAGAACAAAATATCGAAACAGTTATCTTTTCGCTTCTCGAAATAAAGAAAAAAATAAAAGAAGTACCAAAAGAATCATGTCATGATTGCAACAAACTTAAATAAAGTTGTAAAAGCGTGTTTAGAAAATATAACAAAGGTTTATCACTTGTCGAAAATATTGTTATAATTTGTTAATAAAAAATAAATTAAATTTAAGCAATTTCAATATTACATTTGCGCAAATTAAACGAATAACTATTCTTAAATTTGATGTTTGTTAATTTTGCTTCAGGGTAAAGTAATTCTAATAAAAATTCTTTGGTGGTTTCTTCAACAATATTGTTGTCCTTATCAAGGAGAAATTTATGCTGCTTAAGAAATTCTCGACGTTCTTTATCAAGAAGAGCATTCTGTTTATCACTCAATTTGATTTGAATATATTTGGTTATGTGTCCTTCATCATCAGAAAACATGATCGGTCTTCGATAATTTGTGTTTTCGTTCTCTCTTAACCACCAAAATTGTTCTTTTTTACTTAAAATGATATCTTTATTAATAGAAGTTTCTAAATTATTTGGTGATTGAGACATCTTTTAAAAATTACATAAATAAAAATCTAATCGGTTTAAAACTGATTAGATACAATTTTTCAGGTACCAGCCTGAAAAATTGATAACCCACTTTATTTTTACATGGATGATGCTCTGCGCTTTTTTCGTTCTTCAGAGAAGAACCAACTTTATTTTTTCATCGGTTGTTTCTTCAAAATGACAAACACCTCGATTTGATGATAAATAATTCCAACAAGTTGTAATTATTTCTAATCAAGATCTCATTTTTGTCATTTCTCAGAAACAAATTTAAGTTCGATTAATAAAAAATTTATTAAAATAAAATATTTATTAAAATAAAATAAACCGAAAAATACATCATCAATAAACTATTTGTGTTCTTTTTTTTTGTTCCACATTGATATGACTAATTTAAACGCATCTTATGTTCTAAATTTGGATTGTTCTTTTTAACAATGGGTAAATTTGTTTTCATAAATGCATTGTAAGGTGATAATTTTTTACTCTCATTCATTTTAATAGTAGCACCACGTATAGCTAATTTGTCTGCTATTTCATTTCCATTAATACCTTTATGACCAAAAATATGTGTAAAATATACTTGTCTGAGTCTTTTGGTCAATAAAAAATCAATCTTTGTAAACAAATCTTTATTTTTTACATTCTGATTTTTTACTGTTTTCCATCCATTTTTTTTCCATTTATGAATCCATGTTTCAAGAGAATTAACAACAAATCGGCTATCTGATTTAATCTCAATTACTCTATTTTGATCCTCACATGTTTCCAATGCACGAATTACTGCATATAATTCTGCGCGATTATTGGTTTGTAAGTCTCCAGGTAAAGGTTCAGTGATTTCTTTACTTCTATCTTCATAATAAACTCCGATACCAGCATATGATCCTTTTTGATTGTTTTTATGGGAACCATCTGTGTATATAATTATTTTATCATCAGAATTTAATTTTTCTTGCTTTCTTTTAACTCTTGTTTGATATCTTTCGAATTCTTCGTTAGCTTCTTCTATCGTTAAAAATTTTTTATAGTACGATGATGTAAAGTTGTTCACTTGTTCATCACATTCTTCTAAAGTATTATAAACACCTGGAGTACGACCAATTAGAACAACATAATAATATTTTAAAGGCATCTGAAGAACGAAAAAAGGCGCATGAGCGATCGTCCATGTAAAAATAAAGTGGGTAAAGTAAGAGTTAGTATAACAAACGAAATTATATTTCAGACATTATACAAGTTGGGATCCTCCTCTTACCTGAATACAAAAAAACAATGAAAGAAAATTGCGTAAAGAAAAGTCTAATCGGTCTTGGACTGATTAGAAAGTCGTTTATTAGAAAAAAAAATTATAATAAATGAGAAACAGAATAGTGTAAAACAAAGGAAAAAAGCTTTAGAAAGTTTGATCAGACAGAAAGATAGATTTGAACCTATCTCGATTTCAAAACCCATTTTCTTTTGGTTACTTAGGAAAAACTAAAGTTTATATATATTTTAATTTTAAGAATAGATTATAGGATTCACAAATTTTTGACTAAATAATTCATTGAGAGAATTACTGAGAGAAATATCTAATCGGTCAAAATACTGATTAGAAATAAAGCTTTAAAATTACAAGATATAAATATTCTGAAATTTTCAACTAGACCAAATTCCTTTATCATAGCAATTTCCAATTTGTAAATAAACTAAGAAATAGTTTTTACATTGAATCACAATTGTAGTCTTGGCACATAAATAAATTTGTTAAGTGTTTTTCGCATTGCTCACATATTTTTATTCGGTATATTAAATAAAAATCGCTACTCTCAGGTTTGATTAAAGCATCCAATAGAGTTTGACAGGTTGAACGGGTGTTATAGAAGAAAGTGTAACCAATTTTTTCACAGTATGTGAACGAGAAACAAGCTTCACATGTAGTTTTCCTGTATATGAGATATGTTTCGTGATCGATAAACAGTAAAGTCTTCTTGATATTTGGTAATTGACTGAGTTCAACATGTAAAAAAAATATGTTCGTAATTTATGTTTATGAATCCTATCGTCAATCTTTATATCGATCCAAATAGTCTTGGGACAAT